TTTTTTTAATAAAGAACATAGATAAATAATATCTTTTATTTTCTTGAAATTGAAAGTACAATTATCACTTTAGCTAACAGTATTTATACATTTTCAAAAAAAGAAAATAACAAGCTTGACATCAATAATTTTGATCTACATTAATTCGTAGAACGTATGAATTTCTTGTTAACGTAATCGTTTGTTACTGCATTATATATAGTGGAAATTTAAAAGGATGTCGTGTTGTATTTTATGTAAGGAAGGAGTCTATCGTTTAGAACTTTGAAATTATTGAAAAAAAAACTATTAAAAATTATCGTCAAAAGTACGTGTAACATTTGTCGTAGTATTATTTTTAATTATCGATATATCAGTACTAGCTAGTTCTGACAGTATACTGGCATCATCATCGATAGTATCATTTGATTTATATTGACGATGATACATTAGGATGGTACATATTGCAATACATATTAAAAATATGACTAGACTAGGAAGAACATATTGAAGTAAAGTATTATCGGACGTTTTTGATAGCTGAGTAGACGATAAATTCATGTTGATAGTGTATGAAATAATCTTTTCTGTTGTTGTTTTCATTGTTGATAATGCAGATATAGTTATCAGTGTCGCTTTTGAAATGGGGCTAGACATATTAGTAATTAACTTCGTTGTTTGATACTCTTTTGTCGTTTCTACTTTAACAGTAGATGTTATTTCTGTTGACTGAGGTGTTGTTATTTTTCTTGTTGTATCTGATGCAATTGTTGATATCAATTCAGACGTAAGTATAACAGTCGTATCCGTTGTACTTAAGATAATATCATACGTTTTATTTATACCTGTAATATTATAATAGCCTGTATTTTCTGATAGATATAACATAAAAACTATTTACAATCGTTCTGTTCAAGTACCATAGTTCCATTTTTAACTGGATGGTATATAATGGTTCCTTGTATATTTCCACATGATGCACGCAATTTAATCAGACTATTATTATAATAAGGAAAATCATCCCCAATTACTGGCAGTATTCTATCTCGATTTTGTTGTTCAAAGCCAACTAATAGTTCAGTATAATCTTGTAGATTAATTTTTAATGTTGAATTGATATAATTCCATGTGATTTCCGTAAGATTATCCCTTATAATTACTATGTGAAAAGTGACAGTATTGAGAAGAGTTCTATTTTTAAATAAATTTTTAATAATTTCATGATTTTCCTTAAAAAATCTTTCAAAAATTGTATTATCTGGGAATGTAAGGAAAATATGTGAATAATTTCTTGGACATTCATCCATTTCCATTATTAAAGCTTTTCGAATGAAACAGTTTAATTCTACTATGATTGTCGTATTATCATCTACAAAATCTTCGCATATATTTTCAGCAGGTGTTGATGAATTTTTAAAAGTAATACAACTGTCTTGTGTTTTAGAATAAATCAAATTTATATTTAATTGAAATAAAACAAATGAAAATAGATAATAAAAAATTAATAGTAACATTTTAATAAAAAATATAACTAGATTATTTTCAAAAAAAAACTGTAAAAGCATAGCAACCGATATATTAGTAAGAATTATTTTAGTTTAATTGATAACTTACTAACTGATCTCAGAAAAAAAGATTTTGCTAGATCTAATGTTATTGAGATTGAAAGACTCATTAATTTCACACACGTTATCTATCAATGAGGAAATACACATATGTTTTGACTGTGATGATAAAGTTTTATTATATTAATCAAAAATCATTATCATATGAATATAAACCATACTGTCCGATTTGCTTTGATTTTTGATTTTTTTGTTGAGAAAATAAAATATCATCTTGTCGAGTATCATATGTATCTGTACTAAACATACTTGAAACAATACTTGAACGTTGATTAAAATTATTATCATTCTTCGATTTATAGTATCTCAAATATAAACATAAACATATACATAGTATCCATATTGAAAAGACTATAATACCGCCAATAAAAAGAAATAGATTTGTTTTTGATAGATAATCTTGTGTTGATGTTTGAATTGTAGTAGATATTTTTCTTGAATTATTTTTATTTATTATCACACAACTATTTGTTGTTATTATAGGCGTCATACCTTGAGTAATATCATAGATATTTTTATTATTATCATCACAAATAATAATTATTCGAATTGAAACTAAAGGTTTACTCGAATTATCTGTTTGAAAATCTAATAGAATTTGTTTTCCATTATTATATAAAGAAAATGATAAAAATAGATAATCCGTTTCATTTGCTTTTAATATTGATTTAATATAGGTTAAATTTAATTCTTCATAATTATTATGTGTAATCGTAATATATAAAGAATTTTTTGAATTTGAATTCGGTGATTTGTTATATAAATTTTTAAAAATATAAACATAATTAGAAAAGAAATTTTCAAATAATGTATTATTATTAAATTGAAATTCAATACATTCAAAAGCTTCATTACAATTTCTATTCAGTGTTTGATCGATTAATTTTGTATATGAAAATTCAATAAAACATTGTAAACATTCTCGATAAGCTTCTACATCGGAACTATTAGCTCTATTTATTCGACAATAATTGCTTTGATTTTTATTTTCATTTTCAAAATTTAAGCATTCACTATTTGTGATTGAAAAAATTGTTATTAAAATAAAACAAATTTTTATTAATAATATCATAAGAAAATAAAAAGAAAGACATATCAAAGCGCAAAAAATTTGAATTAAAATCTTATTATGTATAAAAGTCAATTTATGATGGTTTCGAAATTATCACAGTTAGTAAAATCTCTTGATATACTTACTTGTGTATTGTTTGTAATGAAATAATAGCTGTGCTTTAAGATTAAAAGAAGCTAAAGCAATAAGCGAATTGATTTTTGCTTTTTTTTAAAAGAGAAAAATAAGAGGATAATCTCCTAAAAAGAGCCAAGATAATATTGATAGTATAAAATGAATCTATAGTGCGATTGTGGACAGAAAATGAGAATAAGCACAGTATTATATTAACTAAATCATTTATAGTTGTCATCTGTAGATCTAGCAGAAGAACAAGGTAAAGATCTACGGAGAGATAAGAATACGACACGAACAAATCCCCGGTAATAAAATTAAAAAAATATAAGAATAAGAATAGAATTATTATATTGCTTTATCTTTTCTATATCAGAGAATAAAAAGATATCTATATAGAAGAAAATCATTAAAAGAAACAATGGGTAGGATCTCATGTACATACAAAAGAATATAGATGTGTATGTGACAAAGAAAAAGGAGGAAGATAATGTGTAATTATATTTCATACGATTTTGTTTTACCTTTTTGTTTTTTATAAAATAATTAGTTCAATGGAGCAGCAATAACTGAAACAAAGACATAAATTTTATTTGCATGAGAAAGAAAAGAAGAGAGTCATTCACACTTGCAAATTTAAAGACAGAAAAAAATTAAAAAGAAATTGCGCAAGAAAACAAAACAAAAACAAATCAGAATGAGTTTTACAAATAATAAGAAAAAGAAAAGAGAGAAAGGTACTGTATAGATTCAGCAGATCATTAATTTCCAGCCTAATTGAATTGAATTTGAATAGAATAAGCAAAACAAAAAGAAAACAAGGAATCAAGATTAAACGATAATAAATTAAGGCAATAGCAGATTTTGATTGTCAAATGCGCTATGCCAATAATATGATCAAGTTCACAGGGAAAATAAAAGAAAAAGAAAGCAAGTGATAGCGGACGGATGTCTCAAAAGAAAAAGAAGGAACTCATTGACAAAGATTAGTGTTCAAAGAGCACCATGTATATATATATATGTATACATATAACACAAGAATATGCAAGAAGAATGATATAGTGCATGTATACATATATATGTTTTTATATTTTATATCACAAGCGCAGAAAGTCAGCAGAGTACATGGTGGGTGTAGTGTTGTTGTTGTTGTAGAAATAAAGAGCAGAAGGTGAAGATAGAGTTGCATTTTTCCCGGTACCAACACGAGTACCACCACCACCACCATTTCCACATACCTCATCAGATGATGATGCTGAAAGCAATATATATGGACTTGTATTTGCTGCATGTGGATGATGATGATGATGCTGCTGCTGATGATGATGTTGTTGCTGTTGTAATGTTGATAATGATAATGGTGATTGATTTGTACCAGTGGTTGTCAATAATGTTGTAGCAGGATTTTGACAAGCTATTGCAGTAGTATATTGTGAAGCTAATTGACTTGCATTAAACATTGCTGCAGTTGATGCTAAAATTCATTATGGAAATGAAAACATACAACTAGTTGAACTCTATCTCGATCAAATCTGTTCTCCTGACAGAAAATTCATCATGCAAAGATCTTCTAAACTCTTCAAAGAAAATTACATTAGTAATTAAAATAACAAAAAATATTTTGCATGTCAATTAATCACCTATTAAAAAAAATTCTGTTAACTCTTTCTATCCGATAAGACGAAAGAAAATAATCAAAACTACATACTAGGAAAATGTATAGCACCATTATTCATTGCTGAAAGTGTTGTTAATGGTGCTCCAGCAAGTGTCATTATTGGTGAACCATAAACATTTGGAATACCTGCTAAATATCTTGCACCAATTGAAATAGGTTCATTAGAATTTTCACTTGATGGTAATATTGGATTTGTATAATCTCGACTTTTATCATTATTATATTTTACATTTAATGAATGTAATTTAGAAAAATCAATTTGTAATGTACAACATCCATTATAGATATTCTGACCATTTAAATTCTTTAAAGAAAAAAATATTATGTTTAAAAAACAAAAATATTTATATCAAAAATATTACCAATTTTACTGATTGTGCAGTTGTTGCATCTTTCATTTGTATTAATCCTTGAAATTTATCTATAAAATAGAAATGAATTAAAATTAGACAAAAAAATTTTCTTTACCATTTTTTGTAAAAGTTATAATTTTTAACACAATACCAAATTTACTAAAAATCTGAAATGAAAACAAAAATAATTTTCTAAAAAAAATAAATTTAAATCATTATTTTACTTGATAAAATGTATCAACATTAACAGGATAAATCATATTATTAACAACTACACGTAATACACAATTTTGTCCACCTGTTTGTCCAATTTCTTGTAGAATTGTTGCTGATTGTAATGCAGCTTGTGCTTGTTGATTATTTGCATTATTTGGATCGGTTTTTAATTCTTGATGATTTGAAAATTGTACAAATATTTGTCGACCATTTAATAATATAGGTATTGAGGAAAAATAATCAGTCATTGCTTGTGCATGTTCAATATTGTCAAATTCAAGAAAAGCCTTGAAGAAAACAGAAATTTAAATTTTTCGAAAAACAATTTTTTTAATATTAACTTGATTTTTTTTTCGTAAATTAAGTACATTTGTAATTTTGCCAAAGGTAAGACCGAATTGAACGATATCTAATTCACTTGCATCAATATTTCTCAAATGAACTAACATGAAAAAAAAAGTAAAATGATTAGATTTTTAATAAAAGAATTTCGATTTTATTTACCAACACGTGATGGTGGACTTTTTTCAATTCGAGCCTAGAGAAGAAAATTTCTATAATTTTTTTATTAGTATCTAATTGAACATTACTTTTTTGGCTTCATTATTATCACTATTTGGATGTCCATTATTAAGATTAGTTGAATTATTGATATTGCTCGTCATTTCTTCTTCGTTCGTATTAATAGCAAGTATTTTTGTTGTTGGTGATGTTGAAAGATCATTCGAAAGTAGACGCTACGAAGAAGAGAAGATAAAATGTAGAAAAAATTTTCATTTTCTATCTATGTACCTTCATGGATCGCTAAAATAGAGAAAAAAAGAATTCTATGTATATAAATATTAAATTAAAAAAAAGATATTTATCGACTTCTTCTCAATCATTTCTTGAATAAATATATATTCAAAAATTCGATTACAATTCTTTTTCTTTCTTTCGTTTTTTTTCGTCTATGATGATAGGTACTACTATTATTATAAGAACGACGACCTGTTTAACAATTTCTCGAATAAATGTTACCTTGCGGTCATTATTTGATAGAAACGAAAAAAGAAAAAGAAAAACGAAGAAATAAAATTTGATTGTTCTAGGATTAAAGGACAATGTCCATTCGTTTGTTAGAAGATTATTCTCTTTCTTTCATTGCTTCTTTGCATTTCGGCTTCCGTTCTAGTTAAACAGAACAAATATAGGACACAGAGAAAAAGAGAGAGAGAGAGAGAGAGAGAGAATTGGTTCGCTGCTCTGCGCGAAAACTGTCAAATGCATCTTTTCTTCTCCCCTTCTCAATCACGAATGAAATACAAATATAAATGCGAACAATATTCATCAAGGAGATGACTTGCCAATGGAATGAATTGTTCACGGGGTTGCTGCTGCTGCTGCATAGTATAAGCTAAATATTTCGTTGGTGTTGCTGATAAATCAAAAGGTTGATAATAGATTGTATTTTGTCCGTTATGAGGATAAATAGTAGTTCCATCAAGTGCATGTTTAGCTACTCGAATAAGTGTCGCTGATTGCGACATAATGAAGTAGAAATTGATTTGTCCAAAGGAGAAAAAAAAAATCGAGAAATTTGTTCTTCTTGTCGTTGTTAATAAGTTTTTTTATGTCTCGCACATACTCTCGCTTTTTTTACTCACAAATATATATATATATATTTATATACTTCTGATATTATTGGTGACAACGCAGCGATGAGAAAGAAACGAAAGAACATATTCACCTGTCATTTTATTTCTCTCTCAGTCACTCACTCACCCTCTCGTGTTACTCATTTTCAGATTTGTAAATACAAATCTCTCATTCTCTCCATTACATTCTGTCTTATTTTATGATTGTGTAAAAAAGTATTCTCGAGTATTTTTCTTCGATTTTTCTCTCTCTCTCATCAAGATTAAGAACAGAACAGAATAAACTTCTAATCATAAAATACTATGCCGACAGCTATAGGACACGAAAAATGTTGAGTATATATGTAAAACTTATTATCGTTTTGTTTACATATTGTTTTCTTTTTTTTCTCATAATAAATTAAATATTGATAACAATAATATATATCGTCATTTAATGTATATCCATATATGAGAACGAAATAATTTACTTCGTCGTTTATATATCGATGTTCAAATAAAGGTCATGTACACACATATAAATGTACTGGACATATTGAGACGTTTACAATCAGTATTCAATATGTGCTCGGAAATCGGCTCTTATTTCATCGTTTATTCACATGTTCTAGGGTTTTTTTGTTGTTGATACAAAAACAAACATAAAAGGAGCGTTTCTCATAAAAATATAATATTCATTTTGTACTCACCATTAAATATAACTATTGTGTTTTCTAGTTATTAACTACCACTACTATATGTCAATGCTTTTTAAATATATATAAAACTAAGATAAAAGAATGATGAATAAACAGGAAAAAAGTATATGAAAAGAGAGCGTGAGAAAAAGAAAATGATGAAGAAAAAATATTTAAAAAAAAAAAAAAAGAAAGAAAACTTGTCTTTTTTTCTCGTTTAACAGTTTACTTCATTAAAATACTAAAGAAGAGCATGGAAATGTCATGAGCTATGAGTGATGACAACGAGAGTTTGTATATGTCTATATTTGATGACAAAAAAAGAAGAGTTTGAGAACACGAGATGATGATGATGATGTAAAGAAGAGAGAGAGAGAAAAAAAAGGATGAAACAAAGAAAAGAGGAAATAATTATTCTCTGAAAACGATGAGAGTATAGGTTTGTCTACTATTCAGTTTCCGTGATTTATGTTGGTCACTATTGTTATTTTTACATTAAAGATTTTTCTTTCTTTATCTTAAAAATAAACGTATACATTATTAATAATATCTAATATCTTCATGTATAACATAAATCTTCCTAATAATAGTATCAGACAAGTCAAATGAATTCAATCTGTTCAAATTAATGAATATTAGATATGGGACAATTGAAATAAGATATTCATGATTTATCGTTATTTTTTTTTTCAATAAAAAAACACACTTGAGCTTATCGTTAATTTGCATAATCGATCTGATTGTCAAGTAGATCATAATACGAAAACGAAAAATATGTATACTCATGTAGATAAGACTTTTCAATGGTATCCTATTATAAATAGAAATTCTTTACTTACAATCAATTTGAATGACAAAAATTAAGTTGATTCGGTTGCTTGTGGTGTCTGTACTGTCTGCTGCTATTGACCCATGTTATCATTTAATCATGGTGACATATAGAACAAGGCGGAAAAATGAGAACATAAAAGAAAAGAGAATAAACTTGGAACCAAGTCGATTTTATTATCTTCAACAAAAAAAAACGGAGAATGCAACGAACACTGAAGAGAGTAAGAGAGAAAAAGTAAAATAAAAAAAAAAGACGACGAGGAAGAAGAAGAAGGTGAAGATTTTTCTTTTTTCATTTTTCTATTGCTATATTGACGAGCCGTATTGTAGTTTTTCTCATTCTGTTGCTGTTACTCTGTCTATTATGACTATGTGTGTGTGTGGATCCAATTTCAACAGAGAAAAAGAGAAAAAGGCATACTTTAGTTAATTCAAAAGTGCAAGACATACCTTTATATAAAGTAAATTACCATTACTGTCTGCAATAGTGAAATACATCATTTTTTGTTAATAGTAAAAGAGATAGGAGTAGACAGACACTTATATTATAAAAAAAAAATATGTAGATTCTCTTTACTTTGATTTCAATGTAAAAAATAATGAGAATTTAAAAAATCGAGCATTTGTAAGAGAGTGAAAGAAGATATATTTGATTTATACAAATATTGAACAATGAGAGACGAAAGAATAAATAAGATTCTCTCATCGAATACGTGAGACAATAAATCGGAGAAATTTATGTGTACAAATGGTAGTCGTATTGATGTCAAAAACAAAGGCCAAGTAAATAAACGATGTTTGATATATATATATGTATATGTATGAATTACTACTACTCATCCATCATTGTATATTATATGCAAATACTTTATATGAAATTCGAGGTCATTTTATCTTTTTTTCTATTTCAAATTAAAGTATGAGAATATTAACTTATGCTGTTTCGTTTTTTATTCAAAAGAAGAAAAAAAGTGTGTGTGTATATATAAAATTATAAAATTTGGGAAGGTTTAAAATGTCCTAATTCTCTACGTAATTGTTCATTTTCATATTGTGCATGTTGAACATGAAATGTATTAATACCACTTCGTTTGGGCTGATCTAAATCAGTAAAATGTGAAACCATTCTTCGATGACCCCATGATTTATCTGGATATTTTGGATAACTCTATAGAAATAGATAGATATATAATATTTATTAGAAATTTCATTTATGTACTTTATCGGAATATTCTGAATGAGTCACAGTTTTCATTTCATATGGATATGGTGGAAGATAATCAGCATGATATGTTGTTTCTAATGTGGCTGATTCATGCATAGATGAAGTTCGTGTTGGTAATACTTTACCAGATAACTGTGGATCTGCTTTTAAAAGTAATCTAAAGAAAAATTGATTAAATAACAAGTAACGCTCGTCTAAAGGTTCGTTTGGCTCTTTCTCGTAGAAATGGTGTTCAACAATGCTACAGGGCCTTTTGCTTACATAACTTGCAAAAACTAACATCAGGTTCGAAGTCCCTGCATCGAAATACCTCTAGAAATGTTTTTTTGACCCTACGGACACACAAGCAAGTAAGCAAACAAACAATTTATGTCTACTGGACTCTTCTCTACGAAAAAGAGAATAAATAAAGTTTTTTTTCTATAACAAACCCATTCAAACTAGCATTTGCAACATTAATATTATATTGATCGATCATTTTACGAGGATATTCTTGTTCAGTATACCATGGACGTTCACGAAATGGTTGTTCTTGTTGATCCTTTGTTGTTGTATTAGGTAAACTTGTCTCTCCATCGGTTGCAAGTTGTTTGTAAGTTGATATATGCATATTTCGAACTGGTAATTTATTAATATCATTATCTTTTGGTTCTGCTTCACGTTTTTGATGCCTAAAACGAAAAACGATAAAAATTTTTAATTGACAACTAGATCTACTAACCAAATATTTGTTAATACAGGTCGACTATATTCCATAGTTCTAGTCGATTGAAGGGTTACAGAACCCGGTGTTTCACGATACGGTGCAGTATTCATCTTTGTTACTTAAATTATTTTTCTCGAAATAAAATAACAAAATTTCCAAAATATATCATTGATATTCGTCAACGAACGTTCATTTCTAAGCAACGACACTCGACGTTAGATGTCGCTTGATAAAATCTTTAAATATATTAGAAATAAAATAATTCAACTATCGTTTTTCTATAATAATAAAAAAAAACACTTCATTTATTAAATAATTATTCTAATCGTGTTTGAATTCTAACTAATCATATCGATTTCATACACAATAAATAAATAAACAAGTATATAACACTAATCAATACAGATTACATTTAATCCCGTCATTGAAATAATGACAACAGCCGATAACATTGAAAAAAAGTAAATCCTTTTTCTTATTTTCTTATTAGAAAAATATTTCTATTCTAGTTCAAATGAAAAATTATATGATATAATTAATCAAAAACTAGGTAAATATACATCATACTTATACAATCAATGACATGAAATAATTTTATTCTAGACATCTTATCAACAATAAAATTCGCTGCTTATCGTGTTGCTTGTAAACTTCGTGTATTACAAAAATATTTAAAATGTATATTCATATGAATAATAATAATAGAATTAAATTTCGTTTTT